ACGGACGACGCATTTTCAGCAAGATATTTTAATATGCTGTGGATGGCAGCAGCGCTGAGCAATACTCTGGTTTTTGGTCATTTTCAATTGAACTTCCGAATCGGAACTAAAGTGCATCGGAGATGAAAATGATTGGATTGCATAAAAAACATTTTAACATCCAAAAATAACAGCATAAATTACACTTCGTCAAAAGGTATTGGTCGAATATTTCGATATTATTCTTTTGCTACAAACATTCCGGTCATAAAAGGTCAAATCGCGACCAGTACCCAAAATGGGTACAGACACATGAAAATTTGGACAAATTGAAGCTTTTTCGTTTGAACTGAGAGCGATTTTTGCGTGAACATATTCAAATATAACTAAACACATTAATTTAGAAGTCGTTGCCCAAAAAAGATGTAAACCAGTTTAGTTGTTACAAGTTTTGTATAAAATGTGCAATATAATCGAAATTAAAAAAAAACCGAACCGACACATAAATACTGGTTAAAAATGCACGCACTCTTTGAGATGTGCATTCAATAGAAATCAAAATCGAAATAATTAATTGAATACGGCTGATTTGAAAATGGAATGAGCCGGCCATATGGATATACCCCACTCAAAACGTGGCGCACTTATGCATCACCAAGGCAATACATAGCTATTTTGGGTATATGTTAAATTTTGTTACACGCTTATTTTTCTGTTTAACTTCTGTGCCTTTGCTTTGCACTGTTTTTTCTCTTACCATTTGCATTTGAGCGTATTTTTTTTTTATTTCGATGAATAACTTTTTTTGGTTTTACAAAGAAAGGAAAAACCGAAAGAGTGGTAGAAGTGCGTTTGATATGTCGTTTCGCCATTCCATTTTTTTTTTTTTTTTTTTTTAAAAAACAAATTGAAGAGGTTATCCAAGCTGGAATCTTATAGCATTCATTTCTAAAGGCCCATTCAATTGATTTTATGATTTGGCTACATTAAATTCAATCTTAACCTTTTCAACTACAGAGAGAAAACAATTATGTAAACACATTGAGAATTTTCAATTTTGTTAAAACTTTTTTCTTAACTAGAGTAATGGGATCTATTGACAAAGTGTAATAAATTATACGAGTTTTTTGTATTTATTCCAAGTTCTTTTTTTTCGTTTTATTTGACATATTTATTTTTAGTCCGGCGAATAAATGAATTTGTAAAAATCTGAACAAAACGGTAAGTAGCCTCCCTGTATGAGCTCCATTCAATAAACCGCAGACTGTTTCTCAGAGCAATGAATGTGAGGATCGCACTTTTTTTTTTTGCTAATTCTAATTTTTCTATGAATGAAAGAAATATGGATGTATGGATAAGAGTGAATGTTAGAGAAGGGAGAAGAAAATTTTCTCATCGCGAAGGTCAAGGACCTATTGCAAACTACCCGTGGAGAAAGAGAAAGACAGCTTTGCTATTTTGTCTCATTTCAAATGAATAGTCAGCCTATTATTTTGAGGCCACCTGGGCCATATTTTGTCCAAAAATATCATTGCAATGGTAAAACATGGTACACTGAGTAGTATGCATATTAATGGAATATTCCACATGTTATTATTCTATAAATATTGTTGATAAAATTGCAAAAAAATACATGAAAACTCAAAACATCAGTGCACGCCAAATGAAGATGATAGATCCTGAAATGTCAGAAGTCATCAAATGTGTACGCAATCAAATTTACTCTTTATTGGATCATTGATTTAAAATAAACATTTAATCTTTGAAAGCTTTCATTAAAAGGTTTGACAATTTTCCAAACTTATCAGAAAGAAAACAAATGAAAGACAAAACCACGATATTGTCTTCATTCTAGAGCATTCATATTAATGATGTTTGTATCCATTCATGCAATAAGTAGTTTTTTTTTTGTTGATTCATTATTATGAGGGGGCCTAAGATTATTGCACATTTTTGTATGGAAAGTTTAAAAAATGCTCAAAAAGAAGTTACTTACAAATGTCATTCCAAACGGGTAGCTTCCACAAGCTTACACGTGTTGGCGATGATTTGTTGATTAAATCCTGCCAAATGGGAAATAAAGTGATTGACATTTCGTTGTCAAATAAAACAATAAAAATTCGATTAATTTTTAAATCACTTTAATTCAACAGTTTTGTTCATCATCATTGAAACTCTTCGGTCATCGATCGTATCTATTACATTCGTTCTAAGTGTTTCCTCCTTTTAAATTTGCATTTGTTGAAACGCTACGTAAGACAGTTATTACAAATTATTCTATAAAACGAACTATATTTTTTTTGTTTTCATTTAAATTGTAGATTTTTGTTGTTTATTTTGTGTGTATTTTCGTTCTTCTAATTCGTCTTCATATGCATCACATCATCATCTTCATTATTTTGACTAAGTCTAATTCGATCCGTCACAAAAAAGGTGAAATATTTGTTTGTTTTTGTTGATGTTGTTTTCTTTCATTTTTTTTTTTCATCTTTAAAATGTGATGTGTGATTAACGTGATAAAATCATAGAATTTAAATATTTTTGTTTCTTTTATATTGAATTTACATCATCCGCATCTAATTAATATAGAGTTATAGCATAGTGTTTGTGATTTTTTTACTGTTTTTGTCTCTCGGATAAAACTATTTGCTATATTTGTTTATGCAAATTTTTATTCATTATTCCGCCACGAAATGGTGTGCGCCTAATTTCTAATTAGCCCACATTTTATCGTATAGTGGTATTCATGGTATTGGCCATGAAGAAGGATATTTTTTTTTGGCGCGATCGATAACTCAATTTGATGATCCGTTTCATGTGTGCTTTATTTTTCGTCAAACGATGGGAATTCCGTTTAATTACAAAGCAATATTAAATAGAGCCAATATGGTGTATGCTTTTAATTTGCATGTGCATTTTTTTCTTTCAGTTCAATTGAACACAAAAAAAACTATATATTAAAAAAAAAGAATACAAAAAAAACGTGTCTATTTTTCTTGTCAAAAAATCGAATATAAAGAGAACACAAATGGATTTTATTTGAGCGCTTTTGATTGATGCGTTTGCAGAAATGAATAAAGCGGGTGTGATTGAGTGAGTAAAGTGTGACAGTGGCCAGATATATAGATTTGATACGGTGAAGCTCTTCATCTCATCCAACGACAATTATAATCTCATTTAAACACATTTATTACAGGTTAATATTTGTTTCTGTCTTCTTTATAGCAAATGCCATTTCGATATCTAACTTTGTTATTTTGTTTGTAGTTTCTTGCATTTAGTCTTTGTCCCGATGCATTGGTCTAACACTTCAAATGGGTGTATTTCATATCACGACTTCTTCATTTGTAAAGGGTCTTCTGTTACTCGGTCGGTTTTATGTAATTGGAATTGTTTTTTTTTATTGATTCTTATGAATTAATAGAGTATTAAAATTGTGTACAATAACATGCATCCCATTTAGATTTTTATTAAAACATAGCAGCAAGAGAGCGAGAGGGACAGAGAGAGAGTGAGCGACACTATTTTGTGTGCATAGTTTAAAACTTTGTCGGTCATTTCGAAATACATGCGCTTTGAAGACTTAATCAAATCTATCTAAGAATTGGAACAATTTTTGCATTTTGATTTTCTAAAAATCGAATTTTGGACTAGATAAAAAATAAATTTCTTATGAAGACACATTTTTGTTCTAGAAACTAAAAAAAAAAAAAAACAATTTTAAAGCTTTTTTATCTGGAAACTCGTCGAACTACCCCGTCAAAGTTAGCAACCTACATACACGCTTTTATGCATGAGTCTTTTCTTTCTCTGCTCACCTCTCTCTCTCCTTCTTTTTCTCTTTCTCCTTTCTTCATTCTTTTTATATTTTATATAATTTTTTTTGTTGTTTTTGTGGTTTCGGTTTGTGCTATTTGAAGAACATTTGAGAAAATAATAATAATCAGCAAATTTGTAAAAACGTGTCAAATGAAAACAAACGCTATATAGAACAATTCACTCTTATTCAGTATTTCTGCAATGTGAATAATAAAGATTCACAGTGACAGTAAAGTTATGACGTTGCCGTGTGTATCGTTAAAGTATTATGTAAAATGAGCAAAATGATGACACTTGTATCTTCTTTTTTTGCAACTCTATTTGATGTGAAAATGAAAGTAGTTCTCTTGTTATCTTTGTTCATTTGTATCTCATGTTTATGTATGATGAGAGTTAATAGTCGGATCACAAAACGATAATTTTCAATAATAAATTGATTAAGTGTGTGTGTGTGTGTTTTCACTTCATTTCTTCTACTTTTTTATAGTACGTTATAGTAGCTTATCATCATTGGAATATTGGATAAAAATTCTACGATTTTCATTTTCATCGTCATTCAGCCAGCTCTGTCTCTCTCTCTCTATCTATTTCTATTATATTGAAATACATCGTCATCCGTTCGCTTTTGATTTAAGCCATTGAAAAACAGTCATACAACAGAAGAAAAAAAAATGATTGTTTTTTTTTGTGAAAATGCAACAATTCCACAAGTCAGTTAATCAACAATTTGTAATATGGAAAGCCCTTAATCTGTTGATCGTTTGCATTATCTCATTATAAATGTTCTATGGAAACTAGTGTCCCATAAAAATGCACTAAAAACACTGTTCAGTCATCATCGAATGCAATTGCAAAAATCTTAATTTGATTTGAAATTCAGCCATCAATTCTATTTTTATGAACCGTCGTAAATCGAGACGATTGAAGTGCCGTTCAAGCGTTTTAAATTTGAAACGAAAAAATAAAACGAAACGAAACGAAACTACGTGTCAAATCCTCATTATTTAAAAGTGCATTGCTCGTTAAACGCAAGATAACGTCTGAGAAGCGAATTAAATGACTGCCATTTCATCTCGATAAATGACAATGGATGCACTCGTTTCAAGTCTCACCCGTACACTTTTAGGCTTTACGAATGTTGTGTTCATTTTGTTATTAATTTGGTGTTGTTGTTTTTTTTTGTTTGAGATTTCGATTTGTGTGAATTTCTTTCTCGACAGAATTCTCTTTCAAAATCATCCAAATCGAATGCACTATGTATTCGCCGTATTTGAATTGTATCGGCATTCGACTGGTGATTTATAGGTAATAAATTTGTGTTGGTGTTGTTGTTGTTGTTGTATCGATTGGGGGCGGGCGAGCGTTACTGCACATTGAATATTTGACAATGTACTACTATAGAAAATGCTATGATGTTGCCGCACACGAAGCTAAATTTGATTCAGATTGGCTAACATCATTGATGGCTAATTCTTTGTTATTCGATCTCGTTGTTGTATTGATTGATGTGGTTGTTGTTGCAGCAATGGCTGCAGTTGTTGTTGTGGTTGCTGTAATTTTGGTTAATGTTGGTGTGGCACTGCCACCTCCTCCACTTGTATTTGATTCCGTGACGGTATTCGATGTGGATGATGGTGTTATTTGTTGTGGTGGTGGTTTTGGTAATCGTCGTCGAAACCATGAATGTTTCAATGCGGCTGCCGGTGTCATTCGATATTCTGGATCCCATTCAAGGCAACCGCACAAAAAATTCATAAACAATGGATCATCGCATCCTTTTAACGCTTTGCGTAAACTTTTCGAACCGGGCCGTCCCCGCTCTTTACCTTGACGTGATATTCCTGCGCCCAATATCACTCGACCATCGTCCAATGTTTCAACTGTACAATAACGCGGATAACCTTTAGCTGAAAAGAAATTTTTCGTTCGCTTTGATTGGTCCAGCAATTTTTGCGGTGGCATTCCCAACAATTCAATTATACAAGCCAATTGATCGTTTTCATCTTCACCCGGAAATAATGCATAACCAGTTAATAGTTCAGCTAATATACAACCCAATGACCACATATCAATTGGCATTCCGTATTTAGCGCCCAATATCACTTCGGGTGCACGATAAAAACGAGATTGTATATACGTGTAAACACGTTGATTTTCATAACATGACGATCCAAAGTCAATCACCTGCAAAAAAAAAAAAAAAAAAAAAACAAAAAAACATAAGCATGCGATGAATGAGAATAAAATTAGGGGAAGCATCTCACCTTAATGCCAGATCGGCCTTGTTGTTTCAGCAAAACGTTTTCTGGTTTCATATCACAATGAATAATTTTATTTTTAGATAATGCGTCCAAGCATTGCAGCAGCGAATGTGCAAATTTTCGTACTAATTGTAAACTAAACCCTTGAAATTTATTCTTTTTTATTAGTTCATATAAATTGATGTAGAGCAATTCAAATGTGATGCACATATGATTACGAAATGTAAAATAATCATACATATGAATAATATTCATTGAATTGTCTTTGTCGTGTTTACGTAAATGCGATAAAATGCGAATCTCCTCTTGTGCCTGACGATGAAATCGCTTTTCATTGCGTACCATTTTCAATGCAACATGCTCGTGAGTTTTGTGATCGTATGCCTTTACCACTTGACCAAACGAACCTTTGCCAATGATCTTTAGTACTTCGTACCGATAGGCAATGTGATCGTGTGGTGTATGAATGTATGAACCTTGTTCATTGTCATAATCGGAATTATTTGGGCCAACGATGCCGGGACGTTTTTTAGCATTGGCTCCAATAAAATAAATTTGCGGGTATTTAAATATCTCATGGTGTTCGTATGGCGTTAGGCGATTCATATACAAAATCATCACTTGTGTTGGCGACGCAACCAATGGCTTTGGCTTTTCATCACTGATACCTATACCATGGAATAAAGAAAGTAAAAAAAAAAAACTATTAGGAAACAGCTGTTTCAGATTCCATTTTCAACATATAATTGATCAATAATTTTCACACCGAATTCCGAGTAAATCATTTTGTTTTCGTCGAATGTTGAAAATGTTCCGAAATGACGTGAAGAATCTCACAAGGGGAATTATTCACTTTTCAAACATATCATGAAAAGTTGCCAATTTGAATCGACAAGTATTTTCGATATTTTGAATTTCGAATTCGATAGCAAGAAAAAAAAAACACCCAACAAATGGCGGATTAGTCTTACATTTCATTTGGCTTGATGTGATGATGCTGCGATGGCTCTGTTGCAAAGCCGATGTGATGCTACTATTGCTGTTTAAACTAATGGGTGTCGGTGAAACAAGTGATGAGGCTTGTGTTGTAATGCTATTCGCTTTTGATGTTTTTGTTTGCTCTTGTTCACTGGAAGTTGATGTTTTTGTGACCACAGCCGATGCAGTGACCGTTGTTTCTGGCACTGTTGATGTTGCCGTCCTAAATTTCAGAATGAAAAAGACGCATGAAAAACCATTTTTTTTTCTCTTCAAACATTTTAACATTGTCCATATTTGGCACCGATTTTTTTTCTTTCTCAAAGCCACCCCGAACAATAAGTTTCGACAGAGAAAAGTGGAAAATTGTGCCCAACGAATAATAAATGTTTGATGGCTTACCATTTTGTTGTTGTATCTTTTGGTTGTTGCTGTGATTGTGGCTGCTGATGTGGCTGATGCGTTTGATTGTTTGTAATGGACGAATTCAATGCTGTTTCGGTTGTGCCAATTACGAATGGTAAATATTGTTGTGGAAGCTTTTGTTGCTCAGATTTTGCACTGCCAACCATTTTATTTCACTAAAAATACAGTGCGAAACTGTAGCGGGTATAGATTTCCAGAGAGATAGAGAGTGAAAGATGGTCGCTCGTATGTGCACACACACACACACAACAGTTTGCGACTAAACTTTTTTTTGGACGTCGTTTCGGTTTTTCGTGATTGAAATGTGGGATGTCGATTGGTATATGTGCGTGTGTGGGTTATGATTTGTTGTTTTGTTAAAATTCCTTATGATTACGATACAATTGTTGTTTTAGATGGGTAATGCTTTAAATGGCTATCGAGATCAAATTTTAAATCAATAAAAAATACGCTTCGCAAATCGATTCATATGTGTCGTTTTCGCTGCTTTTAAACTGCGATCTAATTGCTCTCTGTTGCATGAACTATATAAAAAATAAAAGACACAGAAAATAAATTGCAAGTTAAAACATTGCTCTTTTTTTGCCCAATTGACATTTCGAAAGCGATAAAAAAACACTGAAATCAAATCGTTGTACGTACTTCGTCTGATCTTGTTTGTGCTGTTCATACATGTGATTTGTAGTCGGTTCCGCGATCATTCATTACAATGAATCTGCTGTTGCTATTTTTTCGCTCCCTCTCTCTCATCGGTTTTGTCTATCTATCTTAATTTCTGTGATTTCAGACGTTTTATTAAACGCACACTCGTGTATGTGTGTGCAAATTTATTTAAATTGCAAATCAAAAAATAAGTTTGTAAAAAAAATATAACCGAACACACGACGAAATTAATAGGCAGAGAACGACAAATAATCACGCAATCAATTGTTGTTTCGTCTGTATGGTTTCTTATTTATCTGGATCGATATTGGTTTTTTTTTGTTGTTTTTCAATGTTGTGCTTGGTGGCTGGTTGGCTGGCTGGCTGGCGTGCGTGTTTTGTTATTTGGAAGTGTTGATATACACAGTGGCGTTATAACACTAAAGAGTGAAACAAAAATCTTCTTCGCACACACGATGTGTTGTGGTGTTGTTGCGCGTGGGCTCCGATATCGATATAGCTACCGGATTTTATTTGGCATCACACCATCCTCGATTTACTTCGCCAAAATTCCACACACAAATGCATTCTGAACCTATTTTGATTTCGAACCGAAAGAAGAAGAAGACGAAAACAGACAAATGAAAAATAAGTAAAATAATTTGTAATAAAATCAATTTGTCAACGCCACAATTTAAATTGAGCTAAGAAAATAAAATGGAGCATAGAGATGGTTTTTTTTTTCGTTTGCTTTCTCGCGGTCGCGGTCACATTATTTTCGAAAGTTTACGAATGAACAGAAACCAAATAAAAAAATTATATATAATTAAATGACAATTTTTCATTCTTCGAATAAATTTATTTGAAGGGAAATTTTGGTCATGCTTCGATTGACCGTCATTGTTATTTATTCTGATTCTTTGTGTGTGTCGTTTGGAAAACGTGCAGCTTTTCAGTCAATGTTCAGTGCAGAGAAAGAGAGAACCTTCACATCTGAAATAAACTGAATTAGTACACAGCGGTACACAGGCAATGAATTTCACATTTCTTGGTCACGAACCACACACACATTTACCGTGATTAAAAAAAAGCGAAAAGCAACAACCATCCAACTACTGGAATTGGCCATGAGCACTTAACATTATGGTGATTTTGTGCAAACGTTTTTTTTGCGTTTGATGCAACCTCTCTTTCGGAGTGGGTCGTTTTTTTTTTTATTAAATTTGTCATTGTGTCGAATGTCATTTTCTTGCAATATTTGGCGACGTGCCGTACCAAAAGTTTGAAACAACCTATTGATTTTGCATAGATTTTTATGTGTGTGCACTAGTTTGTGTCATTAGACACCATCAAATATTTTCGCCAAAAGCTATCAAAGTCAACGAGTCAATTTCGGTCAGTTAATGTCATTGAATTGCAAGCCAAAAGAAACAGCAGCAACATTTGAATGCAAAAAAAATGAATGAAAAAAAAAACAAAGAGGGAGAATGAAAACTATAAGAATAGAACACTTATCGATGCAATTGCGCACATACACCTGAAAATACCCGAAAAAAACCACTTGAAACACAATGGAATAAATGATTCAAATTGCGCCCATCATTTGAAACCCTAACGTAATGTAATAATAAAACAAGTGCTACACAGTGCTATACACCAAATGCATTGAGCACGCATAAATAACATACACAAACACAAAAGGTGTTGTTTTGTTTTCAGACAACGCTTTTTTTCGTTTTCTATAAGAAACCTATGTGTATATTGATCAAGAAATGTGTGTGGTGACCCATTGTTTTCCATATACACAATACTGATTTACACACAGTGATAAATTTCATTAAAATATCATATAGATTTCTTTTTAAATTTTGCAATGCATGTCAGACTGAATGCCGTTTTGACTGACTTTCTGAACTATTTGAACACATTGAAACACACACACACTCATATACAGACACAAATCGGTCAAAATGAGACGCAGATTTTGAGTCAGTGCAAAAGAATGAGCTGTATCTTTGTCCAAAACAGACAAACATCAGTGTGTTTCTCTTCCGCTTGGTCTCGCCATAATTCGATTTCATGCATCTAAAAACTGGATGGAGCACATAATTTCATGCATTTGAATAGATGGTTTGTCGGCGACTTCTGTCTTCTTCTCCCACTTTAATGTTGAAAGCTCATTAACCAAAATTGCATGCATATGCGCGCAATAAAAAACAAAAGATACAATAACCGCAGCAACTAATAATACTAATAATAATAATATTTTTCATTGCTTGTTATTGGCATTCGGCAAATCCTTTGGCAAAACGATTTTTCTTTTTTATATTTGCAATCGGAGTTAAAGGAGTGTTTTATTAACTGAATGCCGCAAGTGTGCATATTCATTGCATTAGGCATATATCCATCATGCGAAACTTTCAGTTTTAGAAAATGAATTGATTCGTTTTGCACGAATTATATCGCGCGGTCGGAATATAGGGAGAACAAGAGAGAGAGAGAGAGAGAGAGAGAGAGAGAGAGAAAGAGGAACCGAAACAAAGCAATTCGATCATGTTAAAGTCGTCACACATAGCAGCAAGTGAACCATAAATGATGCAGTGCGCGAGCGGCCATCGTCGTTTCTCGAGAAAGGAAAATGAAAACAAAGTGATTTGAACAACATACAGGGCCAATGTGAGTTGAATAGATAGAGAGCAATTACAAACCGAAAATAAAAACAAACAGCAAACGGCGGCTCGCCTCCAAAAAGAATTTTACGGGAATAATAAAACGAAACACAGAGAAAAATAGAGAAAGAGAGAGAAAAGTTGCATTTAATTGTTTAGACGAATCATTCAATCTCTATATGTTTTGCAGCATGAAATTATACACACATAAAGAAAAATGCACACGGCACGGTTAATTTTACAGAAGAAGACGACGACGACAACGACGATGGTGATGACGAAGAAGAAGAAGTAACAGCAGCAGAGAAAAAAAACGAAATATGAAAAAAGAACGTTGGTAGTTTATTGACTTTTCATTTCACAATTGGGAGCGAGATAATTGAAGCGAACATAAATGTGTGCAAAACTGATGTGTGTGTGTGTGTGTGTGCGTTGTGTATGTCAGAGTGTGTGTGTGTGAATCGTGTGATAGGAGTGTTGTTTTCGATGTTGATTTGAATGTATGTTCCTACATTGGTGCGTGTAAGTATGTGTGTATACATGAATGCGCGCCCATGTATTTGTGCACACAGCTACAAGAAAACGAAATATAAACGACAATGGGCTGCTGTCATACAATAACGCACTTGAGTCGCTCGCTTTTTCCTTCCTTTCTCTATGGATTCAACAACAACAACAATAACATCTCATATAATATATAAAAAAAATTATATGCATGAATTTGTATTAATAATATCGAGAATGAACAACAACAGTAACACCGTCATAATCATCACGTAGAGTGAACGAGTCATGCAAAGTGTTAATTGTGCAAAGAGGATTCGATGCGGAAGGAGGCACATAATATAACATACATGACTTAATACACTCACTCTCGTCGTTTTTGCTAAGAAGATTGTGTTTTTTTTGCCCATTTTGTTAATTTTGTTTCATTCTCATCTATCCGTCTCTCCTTTTCTCTCTAATGCTATATTAGCTTTTGTTCTTTTGCATGTTACATGTCACGAATGCATATCGACCATACCAAACAACACTCATACTCGCATACATTCAGCCCACTGGCAAAACCAATTCAAAATGACACATAGTTACTCTATGAAAAAAAAAAAAATACAACAACATTTTGTTTTTTGTGTGTGGACACGATAAGATACAATATTTTTCGTGGAATTGGAATATATCACATATTGAGCATTAGATGCGGAAACTTTATTTCAGGTGATAATGAATTCACAAAATTGGTCATTCCCAACTGTTTCTCATACATATACCAAATTCTCAAGCTATTTTTATTTTTATTTGATGCAATCACGCACTTCCACATCACACAATCTCTCTCTCTCTCTCTCTCTCTTTCTGCAATAGCACCTTTCATGCGCTTCAATGGTTCTCTTTCGATTTGCTTGCATCGAAATTCCTGCACAAATTTGCAGGAAATCACACTTCACTGCAAACATTTCACATATAACATTTAGCACAAATTATTGTGTTTGAATGTCGAAATTCGATGATTTCCATTTAAGAAATTGTCAAACTTCCGTTTTGCATTCATTAGTGCAAATGGTGTATTCTCGATTACCGCCATAGAAATGCCAAATGATGACGATTTCAGTACTTTCATTGCAGAAATGTGGTATTTTTCTTTGATGAAATTGCATTTTTTGCATGAAATTCGAAGAGCTTGGCTCTGCCCCTTAAATCAATCTCATCATAAATACAATTTTATAAAAAATGCTTTCATATTTAAGATTCACTAATTTTGTGAACTCTTACATACATTCGCTTACTTCCTATCATATCATCGATTGAACTTTGACAAAAACATCACGCACCAAATTGGAAAATAATAAAAACACACACACAAATGAGGCTCTTGAATAAAGCCTTGTCTTGATTAAGTCTCTCAATTTGTTCCTTTTATTTATTTATTTTCATTTGGGTGGTATTAGCAGCGAAAGAGTTAACACCAAATATAATAATAGAAATAAATACGTACACTTTTAATTATTATCCTACACATTGATGGAGAATCTATTTAGTTCGTTGTAGTGATGATATATATACGAATTTCTTCTATCGTGTTTGCGAATGTTTATTTTTTTCCTTAAAAATCTTCACTCGTTCACACACAGAAATTATATATGTTCAGGTTTCGGCGTGTTTCCCTTTTGGCTGGTCCTTCTTACTTCACTCTTTTGCACACACTCTTCATTTAATATTTCACACTCTGCATTCTCTGTAGATGGAGATTTTTTTGGAATATATTTCTTTTTCTTGTTCCTCTATTATTTTGATGTGCCAAATTCGTTCTTCGTATTTCTTTTTCCTTCACTTTCTGTGTGTGTTTTATTTTTTTTATTTTTTTTTTATTCTTCGTGAAGTGTATTTTCAAAACCAAATACGAAAGAACTGACTGCCTCTATTCTATTCTTCTCGCCAATGCGCGAGCAACATCAAAATCCATTCGTCTATGAGCGATTTTTTGTGTTGATTTTTTTCCTTCTCTTGTCGTGTGTTGCGTTCATAATACATGGAAGTGTGTGTGAGTGTGCGAGCATATGTGTATTTGTACGGGCTCGCGTTCGCGTATATGTAGACGATATGTATGTGTGTGTATAATATTTTCTGGTGTTGTCACAGTCATGGCGGCATGCATGGAACATGGTTGTGTATGGATTTTAGTGCCATTATATGTGTGTGTTATGTTCGTATTTTGATTTCGTTAGCTGGCGAATATACTTTTTAAATGAATCGCATTGTCGCGATACAAAAATACCGTACACATTTGTGTGTTTGTCGCAATTCCAATCCACAAAACGAACGGATTTTGATTTATAAATTTAAAAATAATTTGTTGACCCGATGCATTTTCAATTCGCTTTGCATACAATTGACAGATAAACACTTTTTTCTTTATGTGTACATATGTATGTGCATATCACAACACAACTTGACAACTGCAGCTAAAAATCTATACTTGCGTTGGAGTGTCTTGGAACGCACACCATTACACACCTGTATGGTTTTTTCTCTCTTCTCATAGTCTTCTCCAGTTGCATCGCACACAATCTCGCCGTGATCGATTGCTGTTGATTTGAACACTTACACACATCCAAAATAGCTCTCATCTCATCAACATCCAGACATACACAAACTGGTTATTTTCCATGGTTTTTTTTTTCTTTTTCAATTTATCACACCATCCATGCACTTTTCTAGTGTTCATTATACCTGTTTGAAATGGCCATTAGCCATGATTACAACACCCGCACAACACATTTTTTTACACAACAGATTGTGGCAGCAACGAAATGAAAAAGGATCACAATGATGCAAAGCTTTTTATAACAAGAAAATTGATGACGATTTCTCAAATTTTCAAATCTAAAATAACAATGTTCATATCATTTTCCGTTTACATTTTCGGACAGTTAAAAATTATTGTCAAAGAAATATGTGTCCCATATTCTAAAAATTGGAATGATTTGAGAAAACCCAAATGAAAATGCCACATTAAAATTTGAAATTTTCTTCTTATGAAAATTCAATTTGATTTATTAATTTTCAAATCAAAATCAACAATTTTTCGCTTAATTTCACAAAAACGAGAAAAAGAAATCACATTTTAAGCAGGTTGTCAATGTCCTTCTAACCAGCATGTAAATTAAGCGATATTTTAGAGGAAAATGAGTGGTCCAGATTACATATCGGTAGTCTAGGATTTCGGTAGACATGAAATTTACAAAAGAACTTACTAATAAAAGTCATGAAAAAAATGCCTAATTTACGCTATTTTCCAATCTATCGAAAATAAATCAATGAAATAAACGTAAAAATGGTGATCAGTGTACTTTTCATAATACCATTTCGATCGTTATTAGCCAACAAAAAAGTTTGTTGCCAACTCTGTATTTTTGAACAAGTCCACAGTTAAAAAAAAAAATAGTTAAATTCTTTTGATCTACAATTCGGAAACAAACTATATTTCGTTTGATTCGATTGAAAATCACATAAATAGTTTAAGTCGATCGTTGCTTTTCTCGAGGTCATTTCAAAATTCAAACAAATGACGTAAATCGATCATTTCATCCGACTCTTTGCTCGATGCTTTACGTCATAAGCGTAACTGTTTGCCTCTTCGTTAATCCGATTTTTTTTTGTTCAATTTACATCGATTATTTTTGGTTTATCATCATCGTTAACAATATGTAATTAATAAATTCTCTTTTAACCAATTGAGTTACATTGTTCGTGTTAATTTCGTCAAAAATATGTTTATTTGTTAACCGAACGATTGAAACGAGAGACATTATTTTATGAATTGTTTTTTCTATACAACAAAAAAATGTGTGTCATAATTCACATGCACGAATGTAATTTGATTGAAATTAATAGATTATTGTATGAGGTCAATGAAATCGCATTTTGGATTCAATCGACAAACATAAAATTTGATTTCAATATATCTCAACACATAATAACACTTTTAATTTCAAGTGATTCATTTCTATTGTTATTTTTGTTGTTTTGTTGTTCCGTGTGAATTGAAAAATAAAATAAAAATAATCTTTTTGTATAAAAAAAGATTGGAATAAAAAGTAAATTGAACATATAAAAAGGAAACTACACATAATTTGGTTGTTTAGTCTTCATTTCTTAAATGTAAGATGACTGTTGGATAGAGGTTGGCTTCTTTGAGCGTGAGCGCATCGTCCATGTCTAAAATGTTATTCGATTGACCGCCGACAAACGGACAAATCACTTTGTACGGGTCGCTAGTTAATTCGGGATATTTAAACGGTATATAAAGCTTAAGCGCTTTCAATTTTGTCGTACAAGGCCACTCAAACATGTGTCGATCACCGCTTGGAAGTCGCAACTGTATTCGAGCTTTTGCATCTACAGAAAAAAAAAATTGGCAAATGTCAATAAAATAAATTTACAAACATAAAATCTAGATTCGTACCATTTTCATCGCCTAAATAATTGTCATATGTTTCTATGTTGGGTGCTGTACTTGGTGTGGCCTCACCAACCTTTGAATCACATTCTTGTTCTGCTATTTTATTATCAAACGTATTTGATTTTTCCGATACGGTTTGTGATGTTTGGCTTTTTACGTACGATTGATTTGACGATTCATCATCGAAATCAAAGTCCGATTCGTCCGATGATGGTTCACCAAAACTATCACTTTTATTGTCATCTTCGGCTGCATTCACTTCACGCAATGAATGAGCTGAAATTTGAAACAAAAATCATTAGCAGGGAAATTGCGAATTTATCAAACGTGTAAAGTTGGAATCTATTAATTAAATTTATCTGGAATTTTTTCAATGGAGTTGCCATTTTTCGTGCTATACATTTACGAAATTTACAGAACATATTACGAAAACAACGAATTGGTTCTTAGAATCCGTTGTCTACTAAATTTTTGTAAGACACCCATCTTTTAAACTTATTCAGTTTTGAAAACATGGCGTAAATGTACAAAGATTACAAAATCTGAAGGGCATCTGAACAAACAGAAATCTCCATTCAAGACGTCTTTACGTGTGATGTCCGCCTTCAGTGAGTTTACATGAAAACAAAAAGATTTATACCTACCAATGGCTAATTCGATTTGCTCTTGTTCAGTCAGTGATGACGGTTCAAGTCGTTTTCGCTTTGGATTCGGTGATGCTGTTGCATGATTGTTTGTTGAGTTTGTGGTTTTAGTTTCGAAATATTTTTCATCAAAAGTGCTGACAATGCCATCATCCTGAAAGGAAGAAAAAAAAAAATTAGAAAATCGTCAACATGTCCAAAATTCGTCTTGTCCATTGGACAGATCATCATATTTTGATACTTACTGCATTTGGATGTGGTGTATTTTCTTTCAAATAAATTTTCAATTTGTCCATAAAATCGTTGAGTGTAAGTTTGAATCCAGTTTTGTAGCAAAGTTTTTCTTCCCCGGTACGTGGATCAATGATGCCAACATATGGAAATACTTGTATACCATAAAATACTTGAAATCGATGGCCGTCCGTATTATCAATGGCCACTTGCCAAAAGACAAAGTATCGCTTAATGATCTCTCGTAATTTGTCACTTGACCAAATATCACGATTTAGTACTTGACAATTAAAATCACTCATATCTTGTACGTTAACGATAAGCCATTTATTTTGCTCTTTGGCATAGTCACGGGCCGCTTGAAATGAACCGCAAAATGTCATATCAACGGGTGGCCGAAATAGTTCGCTCAATCGGCTTGGTACGGTTGATTTTGTGGACGGTTGTGCTGCGCTTGCATTCAATTGACGATTGAACAATTCACGTGTGCTATTTGAAAAGCCAAGAATATTCTCTTTTGGATTTGATGCCGTTGCTTTTGTTAAATAATTTATCGATTCATCAACATCGGATGGATCGATGCCCGTCGTTGATATATTGCCCATAACAACTGCTTTCAATCGTTCCTCTTGCATTCGACCTTCTAATTCAAAATTTCGCAGTGGACAAACGGTACGGGTGGCTGTTGTCAAACGTTTGCGATACCGAAAATTATCTTCATTTGGTAAAATGAGTTGTTCACGTTTCGGTAGAATGGGCGGTCGAACTTCGTCATCATCGTCAATTGGTAAATTTGCGTCAGTCGATGTGGATGCCGCTATGGATACAAAACAAACAAAAAAATATATATTAAAAATGGGTGGCATGACAACAATCGCTGCTATCCCAATACGAAATCATTTTCGTTTCAAATTACCTGCAACATCATCCTCTGGTGCACCGATCGCATTTGATCGTTCTAAATGATAGTTGATTGCCTGTTCCAAATTGAAATTGTTTACGGTGAGTGCTTGGCGTGCGGTATCGAAATCAGCACCTTTTCGGAAGAAAAATGAATAAGATTATTTCACAAAATCGCATTGGGTGATGTGGCCGCAGTGCTTACCCGATATTTCCATAAACAATGCAATTTGATTATTTTGTTCGGATTCTTCACTCATTTTGTTCAATTTGTGGTATGTGTGTGTATATATATTTTTTTTATGAATGGGCACTTCCTTAATCGTGGAATGCCAATTTCTAATCGCCTAAATCTATTACACTTATAAACTAACACGTGCTTTACTTATTCAATAAAATCGTATGAAAAAAAAAACCGTGAAATATAAAACAATTGTTGTTACTTTTTTTAATATTATGAAATTGATGTGTGTGTATCAGCGCGTCTGTAAAATGTCAACTTTAAATATGCATATTATACGAATTGCTCGAAACTCGACATTGGTGATGGAGTGCACCGTAAACAAAACGTGTATAAACATAAATAAACGGGAGCGCAACACAAGAACGAGTAGAAGATAAAAAAATAACCACCACTCACACAATACACATTCAATTCACCAAGCGCACTTCTTAATGGCGTCACTCTGAGATTTGGTTGCTTTTTGGACAACAACAGCAGCAATAGACTCTTTAATTTTGCATTTCCTTTGTATCTATTCTCAATGGTGTTGTCGTTCTCTTTCTATCACTCAATGCAACCGAAAACGAGATGCAATTATTATTGAGACATTGTATTTGTTGCGTTTGCCTCCAATTTTTCGAGCTGTCACTCTGTCAAATGAAATAGAGAGCGCACGGCTATAACCAACACTCACATGTGTCAAACAAAAAATAAATGCAAACGAGAAGTGAAAAACACACAGTGTACATTTGTGTGCGTGTGTTGTTTGCAAACGAGCATTCACACTGCCATCTTTAGAGAAATTTGCTTTCATTGAAATGCCGCCGACACACACACACACTTGATGTGTGAGAGAGATCAATAAATCCATTAAGTTTTCAATTGAATTCGTTTTTTCTCACTGCTCCACTGTCTCTTTTTATTTTATATGATTTGCATTCCGATTTAAATTTTATCGCAGACAATTGCATCATTTTGATTTACAGCCAATTCCACATCATATTTTTAAATGATAACGTATCGAAGAATTGAATCGGAGAGCCAAAAGAGTAAAAAATGAACATTCGTACATAAATGTTTTAGTGCATTTTCGCATATTTGTGCGTTGTTATTGAATCGTAGCGCATGAAATGTATTGGTTTACCTCGTTAAAGGTTTTTTTGTATGCAGTAAACCTTTTTTGTATCGGTCACACAGCAGTGGTAGTCATTTCGATGGCAAACATTTTTGAAACATATGTTGGTGTGCGCTGATTTTCAGATGGTTCCAACAAGAATGCATTGTGCTATGTCTGTGACGCAGCACGATACATGTACGTAAAAAATCGCTCACATGCAAGCAAAATCGCTCACAAAAGCCCGAGAGAGAATGAATGGCAAAACAAAAAAATTAAAATCCCAAAAAACGGATGATTTCGGGCCGAAAAAGGTAGCAACACGACGTCTTTCAATTAAAAAAAAAGAGTTCTATCGCATGAAAATGAAAGCGTATCACACATTTGGATTGTATGAATGTGTTACAGGAGATCGATGTGTAAATATGGATTGATGGATTTAAATATGAAAGGCTAAACAAATTGCATATACACACACACACACGCGCACATACATCGAATAAAACGAAAGAGGTGGAAAGAAGAACAAATACGTAAGAGAACCACAGCACAAAAAGGGATAGAATGAGAGCGAAAGAATTTAAGAGAATGTTGAATCGTATATCGAAAAATTGCGATGGTATTGCGAGTCATTCGAAGAGTGACAGCACTGAACCGAGCAAAACGAATGAATGTGGCGAATGGCAAAAAGAGTGAGAGAGCATAAGTACACAAAATTCTCGGAGAGCGTGTTCCAAATACAACGAGAATCGACGGAAACAAAGACAAGGACAAAGGTACATTAAATGGCTGGCTGTGCACAAGAACGGAACGACCACGTAACAGCACAGTCAAGCACAATTTTTGTCGATCTCTCTTTCTCGCCATTCCGACCTCAACGGCAATGACGACGATTCGTATAAGAAAATCGGATTGGACGTGTGTGTGTGTGTGTTTTTTCTTTCTCTGTATGTCTCTGTATTCTCATGTGTGTTTCCGTGCAAAACTTTAAACCAAATGCAATCTCTATTTCGGCATACAGCGGCCGCTTAACTATTTGTCTTTGTCTAACACATATTGTGGCCCGTTTCAATAATACTAATGTCAAAATCTGTATAATACCATTTTATACGAAACGAGATTGATAAATGCATAATTCGTTTTTTTTTTTCACTTCTCTTCCATGACGTTTTTATTCGCTGTTAATTTGTCGCTGTGTAAACTAAAAAACCCTTTTGGTGTCCACAGATATAAATAAAAAAAAATTGTCTTCTTTTAAATGCAATATGTATGCCAGAAAAAATGATGCTTAATATATGTATATTTGAAATAGAGATGCCCCTGCGTAAGGAGAATCACATTCACTTACTTAAATTCCATGACATGCATTCACATTTACATGCAACTTGACTATAACAAGTTAGCGAACGAGAAAAGTGTACGAAAAAAAACCGAACGTTCATAAGTTCACACATACTGAACACAGCCAGTGGTACATACATGCATATATGTATATACACGTTAAAGCACACATTGATGCGGCAAACGCGGTGGAGAGACAAAAAATCACCATCGTCTACTTTCGCTCTCGGTCGCTCATGCCGAAAAACCGATTCTCGTTTCTCAACGCTCTCTCAGGGTATACATGTTCTGTGTTGTGTATTCTTCGTTGCAGTATTATTGAATTGTCGACGTGAATAGAGATCGTGTTAGGTAAGGTTGTGGTGCAGTGTTTAGTGTGTTGGTTTTGTTTTTGGGGTGCACAGTGATGTCAGATATTGTTAGCGACGACGAAGGAATTTCTGGACAAAGTATGTGAAATAACAACATCCACAAAAAAAAAATTTGAACAAAAAAAATATTTTCCAAATACTTCACCAAAAAGAAACGAGAGACAGTTTGAATTAAAAACGAAATTACAACAAAAATCAAATTAAAATAGAGAAATTTAAACGAAAAATATATATATACCGAAATACGACCAAAGTTTTTTTTTTTTCTAAAATCGAGCAAAAAAAATAATAGTTTCATATTCTTTATTATTCGCTCCATCATTCGAAAATAGAAAAGTTACAATCGAAAATCGAGTATGAAAGAAAAATAATAATAGTTAAATGAATTAATCATGTTCTGACAGAAAATATTTTTTTTTTTATTTAAACATATATATTCAATTCATTTTGTTTTGGCATATTTATAAGTTCCATTTCGGACACATAAATCGCGTCACACAATGCGAGTGAGCGAACGACACTGAAAGATAGACAGAGATAGAAATAGAGAGAAAAAAGCGCACACATTTGGCAAAACGCGACCGAACAGAAGAGAAGAAAAAAAAATCGACGAAAAATTAAAATAGATTTCGAGTAACAGAAACAAAAAATGAAAGAACAAACGAGAAAAACGATACTATTTCGCGAAAAAAAAAATCGTATACACTTAATGTTGTTGATGACGATGATGATGATGATAGTAGTAATGATGAAAAACTGACTACCGACCGAAATATAGAGAAAAAAAAATCGGATTGGAAAACAATTAAAAGCAGAAAATAAAAGATTCATTGTGACAACAAAATTGTGAAGTAGAGAGAGAAAAAGATAGAGTGTGCGTGAGTGAGAGAGAGGGTGACAGAAAAGAGGTGTGTGTATGAGAGAGAGAGAGAGAAAATAGAGTTGCCAATAAGAAAAACCGTCTCAAATAATCAGTGTCAAATACCCTAAAAAAGTACTGAGTATCTATCCTGAGAATGAGAACGAATACGAAAAAGTGAAAACAATTAAAACAAACGAGAAATATGTATGAGATTCAAAATTTGAAAGCATTGCAATGATTATTTTTGATATTTGTATGAATACGAATGTGAATCACAGTTGTCGCCGATTTATTTGACGAGAATTTGTTTGCATATTCGATCTAATAAAGTTTGCTACTTGGAACAATAAATGAAAAAGCACAAACAGATAGAGCAAGAGAGTAAGAAAAAACTGAGCCTCAAATTGAGACTCTCAAATATAAAGAATAAGATCATAAATGCATCAATCGCAGTCATTAGAAATTATTATTTTTAAATAAATTGAGAATATTCATGTTTCATTCACAAATGGTAATGTTCTGTTTCGGTTCAATGAAGAAATTTCTTGGTGTGTACAACGAATTAAAGAGATTTTTTCTTTCATTCTTTCTTTCTCTCATTCTCTCGCTCTCACACACTCTTAGCATTGTAATTTGGTTGCAATCTCAACGAAATGAACCGAAAACAAAAAAAAACGTTGCTGCTGCAATTCGTTCAGTGTGTGAATGTATGTGATATATGTGTGTCCTAATAAATTGCAATAAGTATATAATAGTGTCGATATACATTTTATTTCATTGTATTGTTTGTGATTTGCTGCAAGAACAACAAAAAAAACTTATATCATTTTTAGTCTATTTCATTTTCTCTCGCGAGCACTGTATCATCATTTGCCATTGAATCTTCTATTTTGGAACAATTTAATTATTAGTGTTTCGAGCTCATCGTTCGCTTCCATTCCAGCAGTGAATTCTATTGAGACAGAGAGAGGGGGAGAGCGAGAGGGAGAGAGATAGCAGGAGATAGAAGGAGCAGAGATAAAAAATAGAACTTATTTAATTGGAGCAAGCTCCATGGCAATCAGTTAAGGAAGAAATTATTCCAAAAAGAAAAGCAGACAATTCAGAGCCAAAACCAATACGGAAGTTTTGAAAGCGAAAATGAGCTGTCATATTTTCCGTACAAATGTCACATTTCATGTGGAAAAATGTTGATCAAACAAACAGAACGACCATAAAAATAAAACTAACATTGTCAGCATAAAAAGAAAACTGACAAAAATTCAAATGATGTGTCCGCAGTTGGTTTGGTGAATATGTGTGTATGTGAAGATGACGACGCTAATGATCGTTGTGATTCGTATGTAAATGCATTTCCATGTGAAAAACCCGTTCAATGAGACGTTCCGTTTATGATATGTGTCGACCAATATAGATATACTTAAAGACACTTTACCGCCAAACTCCAAACACGAATTTGCAAAATTTGGTGAAGTCTTATATTGTGTGAAAACGATTGAGGCCAATAATGAAAAGTCGTTCGTCGAAATGTCATGTGGAAAAAGCTTTGAAATATAACAAGGTCCTGGAAAATCATCACGTCAATTGTTGAGTTTATGTGCTTTCTGTTGTGTGTTGAAATTGAACATATTTTCGTTGCTCGCAAACCAATCGATTTGACAAAATTCATTCAATATCGCTCGTTCATTTTTCTTCTCTATTTGACGCTACCGTAATTTATTTTTGTTTCGTTCGTTTGTTGGTTGTTCGGCAAATAAATAAATAAAGCGCAAACAGCGTTGAAATAAATGAAAAATCAAAAATTAGCACAAGAGAATCGAAGAAAAAGAAGAAGAAGAATAATAAACGAAGAAACGAATGAATGAAATAAATAAAAAATATGTCGAATTTCAATTGTAGTGGATGTGTTATGATGTTGATGACGATGATAATGTTCAACAACAACAAATTGTACATTTGACTGTGTATCTACTTGTGATGATTCTATGTGCGAAGCGATGTGGTTGTAGTTGCGAGTTCTCAGTGTTTCTCTTTCTCTATCTTTCTCTCTCTCTGGTCTGAGGTCGCTGTAGAGTACCGAGAGCGATACACACGCAACGCGCGCTCTTGCTGAGTATATATATTCGCACAACAACTACTAATTCCCGTTTTTGAACAGTCATAGTCAGTTCGGGTGCAAATATGTAATTCACCGCCGAGAACCAACCAGTACGATATATATTTATATCAGTATGTATGTGCATTGAATATACTTTGCCGTTTGATTATTAGCTCAAGATTCTCTATCTCTGTCTAGCTTGTTTGTCGTTGGTTCGTTTGCTCACCAACTCATTCGCTCATAATAAGACTAGTTTGTTGTATATTAAAGTACATATATTCTTGTGGTGGCTAATGGTAATGCCGTTGGCATTGCGAACGGACCCATTCGTCGGGCTCCCCGCACACACACACACACACATTTGAACATGGCATGCGTTATATTTTGTAATGTGGTGGCATGGAGACAAAAGTTCGTTTTTTTTTGCTGTTTAATTCTGCAGTTAAAGCTATTGCAAGCTCGTTGATTTAGGCCGCGCGCGTGTATGCCTCATCCAATACATGCCAAAAAAAGCAACAACAAATAAACATTATTTTTAGAGAGAGAACTAAAACGTGTACGCATACAATTACGCGATATACACGATACAACATTGAATACATTTGTTTCACTTCAGCCCACATAATAAATTCTACAAAAGCTGGACATTTGTACAAAAACATATCGCAAACGAAAAAGAGTAGAAACAATTGGGAGAAAACTCATTTAAAACATCTTAAACATCGAATAAAATCGCATTAACTGGTGTACGCTTTTATGCATTTCTTTTCGAAATCTATGACAATCGCAATTGATGGATAAACTATTTTTTTATTAAATTCCATCAAATTATGTGCTTGAACAATAAATTAATCTTTTTGCAATACAAAAAAAATATATTTCATCTTCAAGGACCTTGAATGATAATTAGGATACATAGGTTTCTGTTTTTCGATCATGCATGCGTTGTTAAAGAGAATTTAACCGTAATATAAAAACTAATTTCGCTCTTCCAAATCAAATCAAATCAAATTTGAAACTTTATAACATGAAGTGCACGGCTATTTACACCGAATAATTTGGCGTTGGCGGATTGATGATGGTGGCAGTGATGGTGGTGGTAATAATGACGATGCTGAGAGATGGTGATGGCATAATTTGCTTTAATTCAAGCCTACACTCATCAATTATGTATTTTGCGAATGTATATAGATTTTGTTGTTGTGTATGTACAAGCTTCAATCGTATCGACGCTTTCATCGAAATCATTCATCAAGTACAAGACAAATTAAGTCCTTGTATTGCATACAGTTTTTGCGTCTCCCTCGCATAATATTTTACACATCATAATTATCCGAATTTAGTTTTCAATTTAAATGTCGAACCGATTTTCGTTCAAATCTATTTCGATTTCAAGGCAAACACAAAACAAACCACAACGCATAGATTCAATACAATTGGTTTGTTGATACAGCCCCACGTTGATGACCATATTCTTGCGCATAATTTTCGATAATTTATTATAGATACACACAGATTAAATTGTATTGATTTCATTTGTGACGATTCAAACTCGGTTTTGTGCTTTCACATAATATGTTATAACATACATCGTGCACAAAACGCACCCACACACACACATAATTAAAATGCATTATTGTACATAAATGGTCATTAAATCAGCTCATTTGTTGGAGCGCGCTACGGATGTGAAAAGTGTGAAGAGCAAGAGCGATAGAGGGTGGGGTAAAGAGAATGCATTCTCGATGAAGTGATCATAATGCATCTTGGCGAAAGTAAAAGTCACCTTCGTTTTGCTTCCGTCTCCTCCAACCTCTGTTCTGCTGCCAACCGTTGTCGCCATCGTCTTTTCTTCTTCCAGCTATACGATTCGATCTCAACTTATTCTAATTTTTTTTTCTACTCGATAAAAAAAACGTTGTTGGGCAACAACAGCAAGATATTGTGTATAACTGGGACGAAATCAGTCTTTGTAAAATGGATATGAATGTCGATTGCGTTGATGACTATGGAAATATATTCGAAATCAGAATTGCATACATGTGATGCGATGGAGAGTGAGAAAGAGAGCAAAAAAAGAAAGAATGGCTGATAGAACCAAGTAAAAAAAAGAAGAAA